AATAAAATAATTAGAATATCATCCACCCGATATTACTATTTTAGTATCATGCACCCGATATTCAAGACAATATCAGGGACCTGAGATAATAATAAAATTATCTCACATCTATCACTATTATATCGGGTGCATAATAAAATTTACAAAATTAATTATTGAGTACTTAGTAATAATCAATCATATCGGGTGCCCGATATGTTTATTCTTCCCTGATAGGTGTCCGATAAATGCCCGATATTTGAATTTTGACCTGTGAGTATTGTAAAACAATAAGACTTTACCTTTCGTGTTCAGATAAGTGTAGTTAATTAGTAACTGTTAACAGGTAGATTACTATTTTTCTTTTTTCAAATTTAAACTGGGTAAGAAATCTATAATGATAACTAATGCACATCAAAACCTTCTAGGTAGGCCTAGATGCTCTACTGCGTTCCGCATTATACCTTCCAGGTGGGCCTAGATGCTTCACTGCATTTCGCATTATACCTTCTAGGTGGATCTAGATGTTCTACTGTGTTTCGCATTATACCTTTCAGGTGGGGTTAAAACATAAATTTATCGTTATCAAAATTAAGATTTCGGAAACTTAAACTGGGCAAGAAAACAATATAGATTTCTAGACATTAAAAAAATGATTAAAGGTCAGATAGTTATACAATATATTTTTTATCTAACGAAAATATGACTTAAATCATAAAACAAATATCATCGAGATTAAGATTCTGAAAACTCCAACTAGGCAAGAAAGCAAAATAGAATTTTGGACATATTGAAAGATGAAAAAGATTAAAAAGCTATACAATAACTAAAAAAGATTACTATAGTAGAAGATGAGCTTACACTATACGTGTTACCCAAATCCCAAATCATTTGGGATTTGGGACGCCAAAATCCCAAATTACTAGTATTTGGGATTTGGGATTTGGGATTTTGGCAAAAAATACTAATCATAATTTGGAATTTGGGATTTGGGATTTTGGCATTTGGGATTTCGGCATTTGGATTTTGAATTTGGGTGGCAGGTATAGCTTACACCAACTAGCCGATACTAATACCTTAACTGGAAAAACCCCCTTCCCCCTACTGATGACAAAGAAATTATAGAAACTGATAATAATAATAATAAAATCAATGATGAAAAAAAAATCAAAAATAATAATTGAACCAATAATGATAAAAAGATTAATAAAAAATTTGTTAATAAAGTGAGATTACTTGAATCTAAACTTATCAGCATAAAAAAACAAAATGCATATAATTACTTTCAATTCTGTTCTTTGCATTCTTATTTTATTTATTGAAAAAAATATGGTTTAATGAAAATGGAATCTAGTTTACAAGTTATATTAGAAGTATATCAAAAAGGCTAATATCAAGTAAAAATTATTTAGGAACATATAAATACTGATTAAAAAATAGTTTACTTCTAAAATTAAAACAAGAAATTCATCAAAAAATCCAGTCTTTAATTGACGATGAAGATGTAATTTATGCCAGTTAAGTTTTTATTTGTAAATCTGATGAAAAAACTATATCTAAAGAATACTAAAATTTTGTTGAATCAAAATTATTGTATAATTCAATTGGAAAAAAAATTATTTTTACAAAAACTGTTTGAATTTGGTTTTAAAAAATAGGAGTAGTACTACAAGAACAATAAGAAAGATATTTATTTTGATAGCCATTAACATCTAGATGTTCTCAAATATTGTAAAGAGTTTTTAAATAATATGGAATAATTAGAAAAATGGATGTCTATATATGAAGGAGATAATATGTAAAAACAATATCCAATTTTAAATTCAAATAAAAAACTTTATATATTTGTTACACATTATGATTGCTTATTTTATGTCAATGATAATCAACTTATTGTCTAGGTACCAATTGGAAAACCTTCTTTATGTAAAAAGTGACAAAGCAAATTAATAATAGTTAATGAGTTTTTTTTAAAAATAATTGGTTAATTGAAACTTAATAAAGAACTTTTACATTTATATCCAAATGTACCTATTGAAACAGGAAAGTTTTTATGCCCTAGTAAAAATAAAAATAAATGGTAGATATCAGATCTATATATGTTTTCAAAATTAATTTGAATTTTTGAGATATTTTGACTTTTTGAGATTTATGCAGAATCTATTTTATATATGGAAGTAAAAAAAGTATCTAGTTATATATATCTTTAATTAAAGAATAAATCTGGATAATCAAAAAATTTTGAATTTTAAGTAAAATAATTTTGTCTTCTATGAAAAACTATTTTGACTTTTTTTTTTCAAAATTGTAATTTTGGGATTTCAAATTAATTTTGTGTTATTAACCTTGGTTTATCTTTTAAAGAAACCAAAGAAAACTAAGCGACTGGTAGTGGAAATTGTATTTATAGACTTTAAATACTATAACAAATAACTACAGTCGGACAGGTGTTACTATTAATAAAATAATATTAAGAAGGATTTGGATAAGGCAGATTTGGTCGAAAGAGGCTAAGGTGTGAGATTTTATAAGGGATTTACTAGCTAAGTCACAAAGACAACAAAGTTTTATCAAGAAACTAAACAAATTCACAAAGAACTTAATAACTTAACCTAGATCACAAAGCAGGGTTAATTATTAAGTAACTATAATACCGAGATCACGAAGCAGGGTATTATAACTAACAATTACTCTTATCACCAAGAAGAGAGTAATAATAACAGAATTGCCAAGATCACAAAGCAAGACAAATATCAAGAGGGTTTTCATTAAGAAAGTTACAATATAAATTATATAATTCACCAAGAAAGATATCAGTTTATAAACAATGTTTTTATTTCAAATTATTAGAATATTCAATTCTATATCAACTGTTCTTTCAAGAGGAGCAAAAATAACTTCTATTTATATGAAATTTAGACCGTATTACGAACTATAATTATTAACTTCAAGAAAACTCTGGAAGTTTCTGTAACATTCCAGCGCGATTATTAATACTAAAGGTAATTTATCTAGATATTTTACCGGTAGCTACTAGAGGTATTTTACTCCGCATCGCATAATGTTACATATCTGAGGTATTTTATCTCTGTTACACAAATACTAATAAGGTGATACAAGAATATAAAAATACTATACTAAAAATAAATAAAATAATACATATATGAAATACTAATATAATAATATTATAATAATAATAAAATATGTTATAATAAAAATATATAAATATAAAAAATAAAGAAAAAAAAAACTCTTTCTGAAACAAATAATTTTGCAACAAAATCGTAGTAAAAATTTTTTCTATCGAAAATAGTTTTTAAATTTTTATTTTTTATTTTATTTTATCAAAATTTTATTCATTTGTCCTTTAATAATAAATGGACACACTCAATAATATGAGCGTTAGCTCAAATACCAGGGCCAAAAAAAGCAAGGACAACTCAATCCTGAAGCCAAACGTTATTGGCGAAGTTAAATTTAACTCAACAATGAAAAAGGCAAAACCAGACAAGAAAAGCAACAACAAGAGAAATAATATGCCAATGGAAGAAGCAAATGCTGAAGCTTCAGGAAGTAAGATAAACCCACAGATAGTAATATTAACAAATGAAAAAATAATAGAAGATAACGTCAATACAAACACAGAAGTTATGGAAGAAATCGAAAGCAGAAATAACGAATTACAAGAAGATATTATAAATGGGGAAGAAAATAACAACCAAGGGTGAAGAAGAGTAATTAATAATAAAGAGAAAACAAAATATGAAAGTATCAATAAAAATAACAATAAAGAAAATAATGAAGAAAAAGAAGAAACTGAATCAATCGACTCATACCAAACAGAAAATGACTACCAGTCCGAATGGCGCAGTAACTTCAATGCAAAAAAATATAAAATCTGGACATACGCAGGAAAAATCATGGGGAAAAATATCAGTGAAAAAGTAGAAAAGGTTAGAAAAATTTTAAAAAAAGAAACAGCAGTTGTCCTGGTAAAAACTGAAGTTTTCAAAGACAATAGAATGATTTCTGCATTATACGATAATGAAGAAAAAATGGAAAAGGGCAAGTAATGTGATGTGGGAGGAAATGCAGGAAAGCCTACCTACATGCATAGGGCTGAAATTTTCAGAAGAAACCCAGTTAAGGAGTTAATGCATAGTGTGAAACTGTAGAACGTGTCACTGGGAATGAAAAACAAAGAGCTCAAAGAAGACCTAGAAAATAAATACGGTGAAATAGAAAGACTAACTATGAGAGTCAATAATATATGGCAATCTGCAGTCGCTATTTTTAAAGAAAAAGAAGATGCAAAAAAAGTCATGGAAAAATCGAGTATTATAATTGGAGAAGACTCCTTGAAGATTACACAAATAGATCAAACAGCTGATAATCTCAAATCTAGAGGAGAACATGTAATCAGAATTATCAGTCTACCCAATGGTATAACAGCACATGAGTTATGGTCCCATGTAGAAAAAATTGGAGCGAGAACATGTTATATCCCAAGAACAAGAACATATAGATGGAAAAATGAAGCAATTGTCTCGTTTGAAGACCATAAAACATGTAGAAACTCATTAAATATTTTCTGAAAATTTGGAGAATACAATATTAGAATTGTTGATATACAAACCAAAACGTGTCACCGTTGTCATGCTACAGACCATTTAGTTATCGACTGTTCACAAAAATTAAGGGATAACAAAATTAAAGAGAAAAATATAGATAGACTAGATAAATTCGGATCGATTTATAAACGATTCAACCCAAGATTCTATAATACCATTAACAAATAAATAGGTGATAAAACATACACAGAGGTTGCTAAAAATAAACCATTTAGAAAAGATAATAGAAATAATAATCGTAATATTAAAAATGATAACAAAGTAGAAGAAGATAGATTAGAAAAAATTGAAAACATGTTAATGGATATTAACACATGCCTAGACAGAATCGAAAATTATCTATGGGAAACAATACAACAACAATACAAAGATGACGAATTAGAGGAAGATGAAGATGAAAATATGGGGGTTGAAAAAGAAGAACAAGAGATTAACAATAATAAAACACCTGACAAATCAAACAAAACTACACTAATGGAAAAAATTTTATCTACAATGAACTCAATGATGAGTCGTATGGAATCGTTAGAAAACAAGTTAAAAATAGATTCAAATAATAATAAACAACACACACAATTAACAGATAGTAACTGGGCTCTAGACAACCAATAGAGTTAATAAATTTCCTTATTAAAATAATTAAATATGAATAACAATAATAATATTAA